GATAGATAGATAGATAGATAGATAGATAGATAGATAGATAGATAGATAGATAGATAGATGGATGCACAGAATGGCTCAGCAGCCTGGGCTTTTCTAGGGGAGATGTGAAAAAACACCTACCCCTGCCGGATAGGACACCAACAACAGAGCAAAGTTCCACTCAATCCAAGTCTGACTAAGTGAGACAATGAGCTTATTATGACTTACAGAAACGGGTGAGGAGCCACAGGAGCATAGGTGACCCCAAAGCAGTCACATCAGGCAGAAGCCCCATGCTAGCAAGAATGATGACTTCTCCATGGTTCCCCTTCATTCAGTCTCTACACATTTTATACTCTAGCTCCTCCTGAGACTCTCAGATAAGTGTCTAATAACACTCCCAACCCCATCCTCTAGGAGAGATGTCAGCGGCCCTTCTTGGGGGTCTCTTGTGAATAGTCACAGCTGATCTGATGAGATGATGCTGACTTGATCTCAGAAGACTGGTCTAACACACACTCACAAACACACACACACACACACAAAGTAAGTTCCTTTAAACACTGTGTGGGCATATGTGTGCCAAAGCACCCATGTGGAGGTTGGAGGACAACTCTGGGCATTGGCCTCATCTTCCATTCTGCTGAGATGGGATCTCACGCCATTCATCATGGCGTACACTGGACAGACACCCTGGCCTACAAGGTTCAGGGAATTCTTTTATCTCTGGCCCCCTCCATCTTCCGATAGGAGCCCAGAGATTACACATGTGTCAGAACTTTCAGCTTTCACACGATTCTAGGGCTGGGAACTCATAGTCTCAAGCCTGGGATATAGCTTTGCGATGCTTATGTATGATAGACTGAGCTCAGTATCACACCAAGTAAGTAAGCAGGCAAATAAACAAGTGAATAAATAATGTGCTCAAACAACATTTTAAGATCATGAATGCTTTATAATTATGTATTTAAATTGTATCATTAGTCTAACTGTGTGGGTATGGGTTTTCTCCTGAAATTTTAAACCTCCACTTGAAGCTAGTAGATTTAGATATCCATGTGAGGCTGGATGTAAATTCCATGTAAGTTTCATATATTCTATATGTGAAACTTTCTGGCCTTTGGTGTGACACCATGAGTGGGGAGTTCCACTTCTGACCTACTGGGATGAGTCACAGTCAAGATGCCGAGGCCCTGGAAATATTGCATGAAACGACTTTCAGGCTATTTGCATGAAATATACGCGAAACAAATGAATTTCATACTTAGGTTTGGGTCTCCTCAAATATATGGGCAAGTTCTCCAAATATGAAAATAAATAAATAAATAAATAGATAAAC